AGTGCATCCGCTGCGTAAAAATGTGCTGGATAAGTTGGCGGTTCATTCCGCTGTGGCGACCCGGGATTAATAAAGGGACTAAGCCGACAAGAAAATGAATGAATGAACATTAATAACAATAGGAACAATAATAGCAAGCATAATAATAGTAAGTATTTAAAGTTCATTTATAAAGCACGTTTAACTTCAGTTACCAACCAAAACACACATTCTTGAACAGAATGAAATAACTCTAAAAGAAATAATAAAATAACAGTATGAACAACAACACTGCACAATAGAGATTAAAGTCCTGGGAAGGCATTAGAGTAAGAGTGAGTCTCAATAATAACAACAACTCATAAATGGTAAAGTCTCACCTATAGAAAATGTTATTGATCTGTTTCCTGATGTACGCTCTGAGACCCAGAAACTTCCCGTAGATGCGATGGAGCGTCGTCTTCAGAAAGTCTCGTTCTCGAGGGTCTTCACTGTCAAACAGCTCCAGAAGCTGAAGAACACACACAAATAATGACACTCGCAGCAGCAACATTCATATGCACAGAAATAACAAACCAAACACAAACCCTTACTACACATGTACGCACGTACGATAAAGCAAACTGAAGCTATCACAGCGCAAATTCTCACATTGAATAAGTGTGTTGTCGTCTGCGTTTTTTATTTTAATGCTTAAAGGTGCAGTATGCAAGTTTGACACCCAGTGGTGGAAGTAGGTATTGCACTCCTGGTTCAAAACACATTTTCACTCGGCACCTCTGTTGAGTAAATGCAAGCGCATGTTAAATTGACATGAGTGCGCCTGACTATGGAGCCTAACGACTGATTTAAGGCTGATATGAACCGTTTAGAAGGAATATTCTCCATATTAAAATACATTTTTGTCCTAACCAACACCTAAAATATATATTGTAGAAACGACTTCTGTTTCTCACAGCTGAACAACAGAAAACTGACAGTGATCAGCTCAGGTACAGCTCATGTGCTTTATTCAGTGTTAAATGCTAATATTGCGAGTGTCAATGCTATTTTACACGACATTTATTGCCGTACTACTGAAAGCAGCAGCAGAGAATAAACCGTCTGCTCAGAATTGAGACTCGGAGCAAGCCAACACATATCAGTGATTCAGCATCTACATTTATTCATGTTAAAGAGGTTTAATATGCATTAATCAGATTATAAACCTTACTATTTGGCTGGAGTGCAGTGAGTGCACTATTCTGTGCTTCTGAATGGCTGTATTTACACTTCTGTCGTGTTTCGCCTGGTGCAAATAGCCAAACTGCATATTACTGCGTATGTCGTCACATAGTGTGATGTTATGCTGCGTTCACATCAGACGCGCGTCAAGCGCGAGTCATTTACATGTTAAGTCAATGCAAACGCGCAAATAGACATCCTGCGGCGCGATACGCGCGAATGGCGCGGAGCGAATGACGCGAATTGCACGGTGCGAATAGCGCGATACGCACGAGGCGAATTGAGCGTTTTGCGCGTTTGACGCGCTTAATGAGCGTTTCACGCGAATCTCTCGAGTTCGAAAATCTGAACTTCAGCGGACATCCGCGCCGCGTTAACCAATCAGAAGCTTGCTCTTGTGGGGGCGTGATTGTGACGTAGAACCTGTTGATGGTGTCCCAGGGCAAATCCTCCAGGCGACACCGACAACAAGTCATCAAACTGGGTTTGGCTCAGTCAAAGGCACCGCTGGAAGTCTCCGTCATCCAGGTTCAGTTTCTGGAGGAGTTTATGAGCTCACAGAGCTGGATGCACCTCTGAAAGGATGCAGTGGACTCATACAGGACCCTAAACGTATCGACGCTGTTTTTCAGTCTTCATAAAGCACATTAACACTGTTATTTAAAATCCATGTTAGCCATTTAACTATGAAGCTAGAGTCAACGCGCAGAGTTAAGCCCTGCCCATCACGCGAATCCGCGTCTGTTCTGAAGTGAATTTGACACGCGAATGAAGCGAGTAACCTCAAATGTTCATGCGGCTATTTACACACGAATAGCGTTCCGCGTCTGGTGTGAACACAGCATTAGGACACGGGGTTACAATGTAACCTGCTCACCTAATGGTTATATTATTTGCTAATTAATAGGGCTGTAACGATACACCAAACCCACGATTCGGTTCGTATCACGATTTTTGACCCACGATTCGGTTTGTATCACGATTTTTTTTTTTTCGTGTGGGGTGGGAAAAAAAAGATTTTTAAAACTATTTTTTATTAAATAACATTTGAAAATCTTTAGAAACTAAACATCAAAGAACAATATTAACTATGCAAATTATTAACAATATAAATAGCCATATATATATAAAATAAATAAATAGCCAAAGCTATCCCTTCTGTTTTCATTGTAACAAAATACTGTTGAAAAACCAAACAGAACTAAACTCCATTGTGTAGATGGTCCAAGCATGTTGAAAATTCTTTTTCAATCAAGTTCTATTACATAGAAAAAGTAAATTAAATAGCTACTAGGGATGCTCATTTCGTTAATTTTGCTAACCAACAACCACCGCTCATTAATCGGTTATTACCGGTTAACTGGTCAGATTACTATTAATTTTATATTAAACAAATTGACGTGTCTATTTTGTGTCTGACACATTAAATATAGCATTTTAAAATACTGATTTATTTGTATATGTTAGAATATTAATAGCGGAACAGAACAACAGAGCATTTCCACGCACCTGCAGTGTTTAGCACAGAAGAGCAGAATAATCTAAATAAAATGAATAAAATAAATAGGACTGCACTAAATAATTTTCACTTAAATAATTAATTTATATTACAAAACGAAAATACTGACTGATTCTTTTTAATAACCGGCACAGGCTTTTTTTTCCAATCATGTTTTTTTTTCTTCCGTCAAATAAAAATCGCAGACTTCCTCAAATCGCTCGCTCCATGGAAAATATGCATTTATTTAATGCCCCACTGTTATTATTATAATCACAAAACCTTTTACATTTTAATAGAAATCATTATTTTAAAGATTATGTCCTGATATAGCCTATGGTTTCCTCTCTCTCCCTCGCGGTTCAAGTGCGCGCGCTGCGTGATGAAAAGACAGCAACAATGCGCTCATATGTGAACTTTTTGTAAACAGTTTTGTTGTTTAAATATGATATTGCATTAATCTGCGTATATGCTTTATAAGCTGTAAAATAAAAAGTAAAACCTATTTGTTGCGTTTATTACGCAGATCCAGGTCAACATAAGCGCTGGTTAAGCATCAACAGGTCTGTATCAAACAGCAATATTCTTCTTCCATTTTGCTTCTTTGGCAAATGTGTCTGTAGGCACGGGTTACACGTTATCATCCCGCAAATTAAGTATGCCTTGCAGTTAAACAAGTGGCCGAAAACGAGGCGCACCTCACTGCCTTTATTGACAAGGAAAAAAGAAGAGGCGCGCTCCTCTTATGAAACGACTGAATCAGCTGGGTATCAATTGTGCAAAAGTGTTGCTGTCTGTGTTGTTACAATAGTAATATTTAATACTATTGTGATATTCAAGATATGTATATTCATACAGCTCTGGATAACTTAAAACAGCGATTAGACCTTCAGAGCGGCATGTGTCCTGAAGTAAAGCGAAACGGCTATAAACTCCAGCAAGATAGAGTGATTGTATGCAGAGCCATATACCTTTATCTCTAAATAAAGTATAACTATAGAAACTGTGTTCATCTTAACTGAAAGCTTCGTCCTGTTTTCGCACAGCACGGTTACAGAAAAGTTTGCGCTGTTACCTGACATCTGGTGAACGCCCATCCCTCTCTGCGCAGCCACATTAACAGTGTGAGCAAATCATCGTATATGCGCTGAAAATCCAGCCGCTTTGACAGCATTGGCAATGTTTCTGGCGTTGTCTGTTGTCAAGCGGGGTTAAGTTGGTTTTGTTTTTGATATTCCTGACACATTCAGACAGTCCCTTACTAAGAGCTCCGTGCGAGCTCTCCCGGCTAAATATTGCAAGGGCTTAAACGGAGCAGTGCTTGTAATGTCGAACGAAAAAAAGTGTTAATTAGCTCAACTTTTGCAGGCACGCGTGACGTTATTGGAAAGGTATCACGGGGTGTGTCGCGATTCTCCCTTATAACACCGCGACACAGGATCGTAGATCTGAGTGTCGCGATTTCGATTTTATATCGTGTATCGTTACAGCCCTACTAATTAATAACCTTATGTGGGCCTCTGAAGAAAGAAAGCCTCTGAGTCTCATGTCGGAGTCTGCTACTGTCCACCGGAGGTCACATTCTGGTCGCGGACGCATGCTTTGAGAGCCTTCCTGACTGAATGAATGAAATACACTGTTCTCCACTATCTGGCAACCCTGGATGCTGAAATATAATTGGCTATACTGGCATTGGGCGAAATAATGACCAAAACGAAGACAGACGAGCAAATATGATGGTGTTTTTATGCTTTAGAAGAGTCAAAAGCTTACATACAGCACCTTTAATGATTGATTTTTCACTCCTGATCTACATTTCAGTTTCAATTTTGTTGTAGAGCACAATTAAACTACCGAAATGTGCTGTACAGCGTAAATACATGTTTACACCATTAGGTGTGTTCATACGTGGATTACCGAGTTAGCTGGATTTGTTTATTGACGATCTGACACGGTCAGGATGGTTTCATTCTTCAAAACTCAGCTGTTGTAATAGCAACAGGTGTGAATACACAAACCTGATCAGCAGCTTAGTTCATGTAGGCAGCATTAGACCGGGTAGAACAGTAGTACTTATAGCTAGGCCTGTCACAATATCTAGTTTTTATTGTAGTATATATTGCACCAAAATGTACTGTGATAAACAATATTACTGTCATTTTATGCCACTCATCATTATATAATGCCTGATTGCCAATGTAATATCATCACAGTGCAGATGCACTCTTACAATGAACACATCATATTTCATTCTGAAGAATATGTCATGTAATTCTAATCATTTTAACAGGTAATAACTTGGCATAGGAGTCAGAATGTGAAAACGCATATCCTAAATAAATAAATAATAACTGTTAACGATAAAGTGCAGGGTGAACAGTAACAGAGGCTGTGATGTCTGCTAGCAGATCTATTTTCTGCCGTCAGGCACGCATAGTATACAAATATAATATAATAATTTATAGTAGGGCGATTCAGCGGCGCAGTAGGTAGTGCTGTCGCTTCACAGCAAGAAGGTCGCTGGGTCTAACCTCGGCTCGGCTCAGTTGAAGTTTCTGTGTGGAGTTTGCATGTTCTCACTGCGTTCGCGTGGCTTTCCTCCGGGTGCTCCGGTTTCCCCCACAGCCCAAAGACATGCGATACAGGTGAATTGGGTAGACTAAATTGTGTGTAGTGTATGAGTGTGTGTGTGAATGTGTGTGTGGATGTTTCCCAGCAGGCCCGTGCAGAGACCGTCCAAAGGGCATGTGCAGGAATACATTTTTGAAGAGCGGGAGGGGCGGGGGGGGGGGGGGGGGGTGGTTGTCGCGTGTACTAAAGAGCGACAACACCGCTCTTTAGTAGGCGCGCGCTCTTTAGTACACGCGCCAACCCCCCCTCCTAATCAGCTGTGTTGTCGCGCGCGTACTCAAGAGTGGTGTTGTCGCGCGCCTACTGAAGGGCGGGACCGAGGGTGTGTCGCGTCGCGGGGGCACTTTTGATCATTTTGGAAGGGCACTTTCTATCCAAGACTAAAAAGGGCATGTGCAGTGTACAGGTTGAGCCCTATGTGTGCACGTGCCTGTTTCCCAGAGATGGGTTGCGGCTGGAAGGGCATCAGCTGCGTAAAAACGTGCAAGATAAGTTGGTGGTTCATTCCGCTGTGGCGACCCTTGATTAATAAAGAGACTAAGCCGACAAGAAAATGAATGAATGAATAATTTGTAGTAAATACTAGAGTGTTTTATAAACATACTGACACTGGCACCTCCAATAGAGATAGAGATGTTGCACAATCAGCTAAACTGTTGCTAGAACCGTTATTTTAGATAAGGGCAATATATATATTGCATCATTAAGGTCACATCCATGTGTTGTGTGATATGTCCATGTATTGATTATTGTGACAGACCTCCCTACAGTAGTACCTACAGGTTCCCTATAAGAAAAGTGGCAAAACAGATCTGAAAAATGTGAAGTATTTTTTAATTAAATAAAATGTATGTAACCTACACACCAAAATATAAGATATAAAAAGTGTCACAGGCGTGATCCTCTCCAAGGGGTTCTAAGAGAACATTTATTAGTGACTAAGTGCCTACTCACACTATGCCATCCGTACAGTACCCAGGCCCGTTTCCCAGATCGTTTGAGAAGTGTGAGTGCGCTGAATTGGGCTCAGGCACGGTTCACTTGGCCGGCCCTGGCCCGGTTGGAAGAGGTGTGCCTGAGCGCGGTTCACTTGGGCTTTGGCGCGGTACGCTTGTGTGTGAGTGCAAAACGAGGCAAAGCACGAAACTGAAAGCGAGACGTGACTTTTAAGGGACTGTTTCATATGGATTTATTAATCATTCTTACTGTTCAGTGAACGCAAACTGCCGTAGTTTATTAAAGACGCAAACCCCTCACTGCACGACAGCTGCACCTTCAGCAGACCTCCTCATTCCTGCAGCACGAGGGCTTTATGATTGTTTATGAGCGCCAAAAGTGGCGGATCTGTCCGGCGAAATATCTGACTGCGTGTCCCCGCATCCCTTAGGACTGTTTGGCGAAATATTTGACGGCATATCAAACGACTGAAACGATAAAACTAGAGAAATCTCCACTGTGCTGCTGAGTGAGAGAGCGCTTCTCACTGAACAGCGCAGCAGCGATGACGTAAGCGTGCCGAAGCCCGTTAGTGGTGTGAGCGCGGGCCGTTGGGGGAAACGGGAGGGGGGACAAGCGTGCTTTGGCCCGGTTCGAGGCAACTGTACCTAGTGTGAGTACGGCCTAAGTAGGCCTATAGGCTAATTTTCATTTAATCATTCATTTTCCTTCGTATTAGTCCCTTATTAATCAGGGGTCACCAGGGCGGAATGAACCGCCAACTATTCCAGCACATGGTTTAGGCAGCGGATGCCCTTCATGCTGCAACTCAGTACTGGAAAACACCCATACACACTCATTCACACACACACACTCACACATATTTACCTAAAGTGCATGTGTTTGGATTGGGGGAAACCGGAGCACCCTGAGGAAACCCACGCCAACACAGGGAGAACATGCAAACTCCACACAGAAACACCAACTAACCAAGCCAAGACTTGAACCAGCAACCTCTAGCTAGCCACTGTGCCGCCCCAGCTATTTTTCCCCAATGCAATTTTGCTCACATGGATAATTGAATATTAATCCGATGATGTCATTATGCTGCTGCGCCATCAGCCAATCGCTGCTTTGCTGATCATGATATGAAGGATGGATGGATCTGTCCTTCACAACACACAGTTCATCCAGACATTTTAATCTTGAATTGCGAGCTTGTTTAAACAACC